TAAGTAAAAAGTTGGCAATTTTTTCAATTGTATACCTCACTTTAAGAAGTAGTATGTAAGTATAATTGATACAATCAGGCGTTACTTTGCGAAAATCCATTATATTAAATAATTTATTATGTATGTAAGTATGTTTATTTCGACTAAGAAGGGGAAAAATATATTATTACAATAGTAATATAAAGAAACATGTTTTTATTTTAATAACCTTTTTGTTAAGTCAATTTTTGAAATATTGCCGTTTACTGTCCACCGTGTTGGAAATTGTTTCCAATTTAGAAATATGGTGGAAACGAATTGATAAATATTTTTCAATTATGCATCTTATTAAACTTATTTTATGCTCTTGACCAGCATAATTGTACTCAGTCTGCAATTTAGAGAAAACGTTGTCAGTATCAATAAATAGTTTTGAAATATTAATAACAACTGATTTGTGTTGGTTTTCAGTGACTATCACTACGCTTTCATTACATAATTTACGTACAACAGTTTCAAAAATTATGCAAATTTCAAAAAGGTCTTTCGACGGAAAGATTAAGCCACCTTTATCTTTTAAAGATATCAGTTTATGGAAGTCCAATATCTCATCCGACTGTAAGCGAGCTAGCCACGTTTGACACTTTATGACCCTTGACAAGTAATGCGCTTTACTTCCTGATATATATCCGATAATGTATTTATTTTCGGATGGGCAACCTCAAAAAATATAGATTTTTGAAGTGATGATAAAACATGAAAAACAAAAAAAAATAATGCTTATTTACACTACAATAATTTTATAAATATTATAAGTAAAATAGAAATACATTAAATAGAATTACATTAAGTTTCGCGTCACATTAATAAATTACCGAATAAATGGGGACTACTGTGACGCTCACTAGTGGCAACACTTGTCGACGTTTTATGTTCCAAGCTGTCAGAATAAATAATAAAAATGACTAATTAACAATTTGGATTTTTATGTATACTTACGTATGAAATGTGATTCCATCCTGTTTTTTATTTCTGGAAGATTGGTTTTTACACTCTTTCACAACACAATTCGGCATTTTTTCTTTAAAAACTGCCAATTATTATAACGTGAAACTCTGTGCGCTGGAATAGCTCGAATGAGAAGCTAAGGCGTAGTTTCGTTATATTTGTGTGCGTGAAACTGTGTATGTACAAGGCGAGGCGTAGTTTTACCTGCCTCAGTGCGTTGTTCGACGGGGCTCTGTCTTGAGTTTTTATTTCGTCTGAGAACGTACCACGGTCCTCAATGCAGTATTCACTGAAACGATACCAGGAGACAGGCCGCTACACCCGCAGGCCAGGCAGTGGGGGCACCCGCAGGCCAGGCAGTGGGGGCGTAAGGTGCACATCGGCCCGGGACGATCGTTTTATTGTTATGGAGATTTTGAGAAACCGCTACCTGACCGCTGTTGAGATACGCCAGCGGCTCCAAATCGCAAGAGGCGTTAATGTTAGTGAGCGTACGGTGAGAAGACGAATGGAGGAAGTGAATTTAAAAGCTCGTAGACCAGCACGAGGTCCAGAACTTCTCAGACAGCACCGAGTAGCCCGACTTCAGTTCGCAAGAGAACATGTCAATTGGACCCACGAGCAATGGGCTAGAGTGTTGTTCACAGATGAGTGTCGAAAAGCTTTACGTGCTCCAGACGGTCGAGAACGAGTGTGGAGAAAAAGAGGAGAGAGGTTTCTACCCATTACCACCACCCAAACCGTGAGTTTCCATGGAGGCTCAATAATGGTATGGGGAGGTGTAAGTTCCGACGCACGTACAGAGTTGGTCATCGTCGATAATCGGCTTACAGCTACTCGATACATCGAGGAAGTTCTTCAGGAGCACGTAATGCCTTATTCGGGATTCATTGGACACGACCAATTCCTCCTCATGCACGATAATGCACGCCCGCACGTCGCACATTGTGTATAGGAATATCTGGAAGAGGTTGGAATACAAAAATTACAGTGGCCAGCTCGTAGCCCGGACTTAAATCCAATTGAGCATGTATGGGGTATAACATAAAGCGAAACTACGCCGTACCTTGTCCTTCACGTTATAATAATTCGCAGTTTTTAAAGAAAAAATACCGATTTGTGTTGTAAAAACCATCTTCCAGAAATAAAAAACAGGATGAAATCACATTTCATACGTAAGTAAACGTAAAAATCCAAATTTTTTATAAATCATTTTTATTATTTATTGTGACAGCTTGGAACATAAAACCTCCACAAGTGTTGCCACTAGAAACGTCACTGTAGTCCCCATTTATTCAGTAAGTTATTAATGTCACGCCAAATTTAATGTAACACGTTCAATTGCCTATCTCTATTTTACTTAAAATATTCATAAAATTAATGTAAGTGTTAATAGGCATAATTTTTTTTTGGTTTTCCATGTTTTATATTCACTTCAAAAATCTATATTTTTAAGGTTCCGATACAAAATAAATACATTAAAGAGAAGTGGATAGAAGTGATCCGAGTTAGCCGGAATGAGTCATCGTGGAATCCAACGGTGCGCAGCGTAGTTTGTTTGACACATTTTGAAGATGACGATTTTTATTACACAAATAAAAGACTTCGTCGTGTGGTACGAAACGGATTGGTACAAACAATTGACCCAACTAAAAGGCTATTAAAATAAAAACAATGTTTCTTTCATATTACTATTGTTTTATTTTCCCCCTACTTAGTCGAAATAAACACAGATACTACTACTTAAAGTGAGGTATACAATTAAAAAAACTGCCAACTTATCTTTTTACTTATCCATTCATTCTAATAGTACTTAGACAACAATATATTAGGGTAATAAATTTTTACTGCACGGCAACACTCATTTAGTGCCCACATGTTTACCAAACCGACCTCACTTCATTGTTGACAGCGCTCTCTCTTGAGTTTTTATTTCGTCTGAGTAGAAAACAACGCATCGGAAAAAGTTAAACTTATGACAGAACTTTGCATTCACAATCTTCGCGAGAAAGCTTTTTTTTAAACTTCTTAAAAAAGAAGAAGAACATGAGATGGTTCTTTCTTTTGACTGCCAAAAAAATTATCATTACCTAAGATACCCGAACAATCCATTTACTATTCTCGGCAGTTGTATTTTTACAATTGCACTATTGTAAGAGGTTCTTCATGTAATCCTCTTTGCAAAGATAACGTTTTTGCGTATAAGGAAGAAGTAAACAATTCTTAAGCCTCAAGAGTAAAATGATATCGTAGAAGAACATTCAACTTTCTATCGTTTAGGGATGGAAGTGCCCATTCTAGATTATAAAATCTTAGAAATATATTGAAGTCGACTCAAAGTTTGCATTTTCAGATTTCTAAATGCAAAAGGTTTGTTATCACTATTGGAAGATACCAAGTAAAAATCAGGGATGAAATCTCTTATTACTTTGATACGGGAGTGAACAAGTCAATTACAAAACGTGGTCAAAGCTTTGTAACAATCAAGATACAGTCGCAATTGGTGTTCCAGTTCAAGAGGCCAGGTTGGTTGATGTCCGTAAATTACTCGAAACACATTTTGAGGGAAAATGGCCACCTATTACAGGAACAGAGAGTATTATAAAAAAGTGCTTAACAGTAGAAATTTTCCTTCGGAAGCATCTGAAGATGAAGATGATACCGAAGAAGTATTTAACTTCGTTTTCCCATTTCTTGTTTAAAAAAATAACAGTAGCACCTAAAATTTGTTAGAAAAGTTTAAGTAAACTGTTTAATTTGTACTGTTAGTTTAATTTATTTCAGCAGACCTCGTATTTACAAAATCATTAGTTGCTTTGGTGACAATCCTTGTATGTGAGTATCGAGGAGTGGTTTTTATCAAATCCAGTTCAATTTTATCATATATAAGTAAATCCATGCCTTTTTAGTTCAATAACGGGTAAATCCAGTCATGTTACATCAAACGTAGACAAATGCAAATTAAAAACGCTATTTTATATTTTATACGACGTATTATTATTATTTTTAATGTTTACTTTGACTATTCAATGTCCATCATCTATGATAGAACATTTATTTCATTATGAAACTATGTATTTTGGACAGGATCTAATTTTCTGAAATAACTCCAGGGCAGAGATTATGTATTGACAAAAGTCATAACAAACGTGGATAAATCCAAACTATAACCGCTTTTTTATATTTTATACGACGTATTATTATTATTTTTAATGTTTAATTTGACTATTTAATACCCATTATCTATGACAGAACATTTATTTAATTATAAAACTATGTATTTTGGACAGGATCTAATTTTCTGAAATAATTCCAGGGCAGAGATTATGTATTGACAAAATTCATAACAAACGTAGATAAATCCAAACGAAAAACGCTATTTTATATTTTATGCAACGTATTATTATTATTTTTAATGTTTAATTTGACTATTTAATGCCCATCATCTATGACAGAACATTTATTTCATTATGAACCTTTGTATTTTGGACAGCATCTAATTTTCTGAAATAACTCCAGGGCGGAGATTATGTATTGACAAGTCTTGTACCCTGGAGAGGACGTTTTCGAAAATATATCCCTAATAAACACCACAAGTATGGGATGAAGGTGTTCAATTATGTTCAAATCATTTTATATATACTACGTACTAGAGAAGCTATTCCAAACCAAAAATGTGCATTAATCTGTATCCGCACATGCGCGGGAAACAGTAGAGTCGCGCATGCGCAATTGATATAAACGCGTAAAAATTGTCATAATAAATAACGATTTATTTAGATTGTATTGTTAATCGAGTACATTTTGTAAAATTTTCGTTTATTTTGCATATGTGCTAATTTAATATAAAATTATTATTAGCGCCGCTCGGCACTGCATGAATATCGAAGCCACAAAAACAGGTGTACGGATTACAGTACAGTTATTTGAACATAGTGAGTGTTCGGAATGCGAAATCTAGTGCGTAGTACATACATATCGATGGTTCACATAAAGGTTATACATGGAACCTAATGATATTAACTGGAAAGGTTCAAAGTAACATTACTAGCGTAGCTGAAAGTGTTGTCATGGAACTGATAGATGGATTACTAGACGAAGGAAGAGTACTGTACACTGATAATTGTACCAAGTACCAGTGTACCTCCTCTGGCTTGACAGTTGCAGCACAGAAAGACGCACTTAGTGGGCACTCTTCGATTGAACCGGAAACATCTGCCTCCAGATGTGATTGCTGCCAAAATAAAAAAGGAGACATTGCGGCCCAGGAAACCAGCGATGGCATGGTCGTTTTGAAGAGGAGGGATAAGAGGATTGTGTCCGCGCTTTCAACAAAACATTCTGAATTGAAGACCGTTGCCAAAAAAAAACTCGCAAGAATCAAATTACCCTAAAGCAGGCGTGCATCGTAGATTACAACACAGGAAAATCTAGCATCAACTTGAGCGATCAGATGGCCTGGTACAGATCAGCATTGAGGCGTTGTACAAAATGGTACAGAAAATTATTTTTTGAAGTATTGTGGGGTATTAGCATCGTAAATGCTCACTTTTTGTACTCTGAGTATACTCGAATACTCGCAGAAAGGCTTTCAAAATCACAATCACATTATCAGGGGAATGCTTCACAAATACTCACGTCAATAAGACCAAGGCCCACTAACACCAAGACCACCATCAAAAAAGTGGCACAGACATGTGTTCAATGTCAAGGGAAACCCTCCGAAAAAGATGAACGGCGTTGTGTCGAACGCTATAAGATTTATTGGAAGGCAAGTAAAAATTGTTGAAGGAAAACGCAAATTTCTTCATTTTAATTAAGGTCAAATTATTGGTATCGAAACTTCGCGAAACTTTTAACATAAGCCAGCACCCGCCCCGCAGTTCTGGCTTTTAGTCGGTTTCCTGCTGCTGCAGGGCGGTGCTGTTGGCCGCACTACCCTCCCGAGATCGTTCACCTTCCCTTTCTAGGGTTCGCTTAGGGCAGCTGGATCGAAGATGGCCCCTTTCCCCACAGCCATAGGACCTAGGGCTGTATTTTTTATTGCGGACGCGAACTGTAGCTGCTGCAAGCTCCCTGACACGATGGGAACGATGATCCTGCCGCACGGCTTCCACCTCCAGTGCATGGGCCAAGGCGTCCTTAAGCGTCTCGTGGTGCGTGAGCCCGACAGCAGCTCTGACTTCAGAGACTTCAGCGGATGCCATCGATGAATGTCTGCACCAGGTTCCCTTCGATGAGCTCAAGTACAGACCGGTATGCTTTTCGCACCAGCTTCTCCACCTCTAGATCCCACTGCTGCAGATTTTCGTTGATGCGCTGCACGCGATCTTTAAGCTGCGCACGAAAGATGTGTTCCAGGTGAGCGTCACCATATCTCGCCTCCAATGCCTTAAGCTGCTGCTGCATAAGTCACTTCCTCACCGAGAGCTTCCAGAACAGTTAAGGCTTGGTCTCGCAGGCCTAGTGTGAGAGCAGTCATGGCCCGACTTTTATTGCAGCCGTTCGCCTTCTTAACGGCTTCGAACTGGATTTTGTAGGCCGACCAGGTTAATCCACGTAGCGAAGGTGTTGTAGCTACTACGGGGGCCGTAATTCCATCCCCAAGTTTGAGGTCGTCCAGCGTTTTCTTTACGTCAGCCATCACGTTGTCTGACGTAAAGAAAATTGTTCACTTGGTCAATTCGGGTTTCAGCTTTCTCGATTCGGGTTTCAGCTTCCACTATTCGGGTTTCAGCTTCCGACAGGCAGTTGTCGTGTTGAGCAACCCTATCCTTAATGAATTCGCGATAACCGCAGAGGGTTTCATACCTCTTTGCGAGAAGGAGTATGATATTATTGCTATAGTCCGGACGCGAAGCAGGAAGAATTTCGTGCGTTAACCTTTTGTTACCTGTCTCTGTCACTCCCGCGTAAATATAATGCGTCTCGCTCGCACAGATGCAATGACCGCCGTCCTCAGGGATTGTAAATCTTTTATCTGAGACTGCATTGTTTCCATGTGGTTTTTAGTTGGCCCTGAGTCACAACTAATAATCCTTGGTTTGCTTGGCAATAATTAATAATTTTTAAATAACGTTCGAACGACATTCCATCTTGGGATGCGTTAGTGATCGCTCAGTTTTCGGACACAGTTATCTCAAATATCTATTTTTAGTTTGTTGGTTTTTGTTATTTTGTTTTAATTGTTAAGTGGTTTTATTGTTAAGTTTTCTTCACTGTTTTAAAATGGAACCAGCGCCGTCTACCACGCATCCATTGAAGGAGATTGTTTCTCCGCTGAAGAAAAGAAAAATGTCGCACTTTAGTGAGTCTGAGAAGGTAATGATTATTAACGTGTTTAAATACGTTAAAGAATCCTGGTCTGCTGATAAATATTCTTAAAAAAAGAAATGAAGGACAAAACAGCCCGTATCTTGGGCATTTCGAAATTGGCCATATATCGTACTATAAAAGAATATACCGAAACAGACACCGTCAAGCGAGACTTGAGCCAAACATTGTGGTTGTTATGGATAATGCCAGCTACCACTCAAGACGCCAGAAGAAAATCCCAGTTACTAGTTGGAAAAAACCAGACATCCAAGAATTGCTTTCATCAAAACATATTTCTTTTGAAGCAAAGGAAACAAAAGTCCAGCTCTTAGAAAAGGTGAACGGTGTCAAAACTCAGTACCAATCATACGTGGTCGATGAGATGGCAAAAGCAGTTGGTTGGTTGGTGAGGTATTGAGATTACCTCCTTACCACTGTGAATTAAATCCGATCGAACTAGTTTGGGCAAACGTCAAGGGTATGTGGCCCGGAAAAATACCACATTTAAGATGGAATATATTAAAAAACTTCTCCATGAGGCTTTAGGAAACATTTCAGCAGAAAAATGGCAAAACTGCATCAGTCATGTAAAAATTCTTTTATAATAAATGTGATCAGGCGAGACATCGTCGGAAAGCAGTAACTCCGATACAGAGAAATTGGATTCTGATTTTTAAATTTTCATTTTTTTATTTCTGCCAAATAATAACTCGATTTTTATAACTATTTTTATACTAAAATAAAAAGAAATAATTTATATAAGAACAATAATTTATATAATAAGTTATAGTCAACCAAATCTAAGAAATACCTTTTGACGTTTCACATTAATCATTCCGCAATAACTTTGCGCAAGCGTACTCACACGATTTAAATTAACCTTTTACGTAAATCCGAAGAATTATGAAGTTATCGATATTTCTTTACAACGTGTATAGTTTTTTTATCACTAATTTAATTTTAAATTTTTCAAAAAAGTAAAATATTAAAAAATAACCAGTATCAACTTTTTTTACTTGACGTCGTTTCAATGATATGTCGCTATGTACATTACCGTAGTGTTTGGATGATTAAAATTCATTGTTATGCGAATAATCGGCAAAAATATTCAAATAATCGAATTATTAATTTTCTTGTATGTATTATTTGTTTAATTTAATTTTATTTTTAAAATTCCAATTACATGAATCATAAATAAAACAAGTTTATTTTTTCAATTTGTCAACAAAAATTTGTGTAGGCAAAAAAACTCATATCCAAGGCCGCGCTGAAAAAACCACTACGTAATTTCAATCTCCCGCCATTTTGGGAGTTTACTGTGCGTAATTTTTTGATTTTGTGTTTGTTTTCTTATTTTGTGACCCGGCTTTAACTTTTTGGACCGTTTCTTCTATATTCGTTGACCTTGGCAATTTATATACTGGACTCTTGTTAAGTAAGTGATCAAAATGTCGAAAAGAGGACGTAGTTGTGGTATTAGTACTTTAAACAGTCAAGCTTGTGCATTGGTGGTGAAATTACACGAATATTTTGAACGTGAGTCATAAAACGGTGGGCCCCTTTTACCAGTGACACAAGTGCTGGATCGTGTCGGTGAAGCACTCGGGATTGGCAAACGCACCGTTGCAAAGATCGTCTCTGCAAAGTACGGACCTTCAGGCAGTGAGAATAATTTAATTCACACGCCGAAAAAACGGAAAAAGAACAAACCATTAACAGGTATCGATCAATTCGACGCAGATGCAATTAGAAAACATGTCTACGGCTATTTCATAAGAGGCGAATATCCTACTGTGGCGAAGGTGCAAGTAAGTTTAATAGATGCCGCTTTGTACAGTGGTAGTGTAGAGTCATTGAGAACCATTTTAAAACGCATAAGCTTTCGATACAAAAAACTTGACAAACGTAAAATAATTATGGAGAGACATGACATAGTCTTGGAAAAAATAACATTTTTAAGAGAAATGAAAATTATAAATGACTGGGACAACGTCAAATTTCTTGATGAAACGTGGTTAAACGCCAATCACACTGTAGCGCAAATATGGACAGATGACACTACAGCAACTTGCAAAACTACAAAACTACAAAAGTTTGCCATGCGGAATCAGTCGGAGGAGGATTTCTACAAAATTGTTTATTAGCCTTCCAATCAATAAGTACAAGAGAATACCATGAGGAAATGGATGCAGAAAAATTCAAAGAGTGGTTTATAACCCTCTTACGAAACATTCCTGCGAATAGCAGCATAATAATAGACAACGCCCTGTACTCAATCCAATAAGAAAGCAGCGTTAACAGCATGACTGCAACACAAAGGTGTGGAACCGGACATGAAGTTGTTGAAAGCTGAGCTAATTACAATTAGTAAAGCAAAATAAACCACGTAAACCTTTATATGTTATTGATAAATTAGCAGAAAAACACGGGCATAAAGTTATAAGATTACCACTATACCACTGCCAATATAATGTTAATGATTTGGGCCCAAATCAAAGGCTAGTTCTTATATGAAGAGTGCAAATATATTAACTTTACTTAAACACACACAAAATGAAAATATCTTATGTTTTTTACAGACTACGTAGCACGACACAACACCAAGCCACCTTTCACGACAAAGAAGATGGAAAGTTTGCTCAAGGAAGCATGTACCCATGTCACAAAGGATGATTGGGCAAAAGTGGTAGAAAAAACAAAAACAAAGATTATAGATGACTTTAAAAAAGACATTAATTTTGATTGCATTATTGAAAATCAAATAATAATTAATCTTAAGAACGATAGCTCAACCAGTAGCAGTAAAAGTGATTGAATAAAAGGGGGACGCCCATTTTCGGCCATGGAACGCCCAACAATGTGCATTTGTTAAAAAATTATATCTTTATTTATGGTTATTAATCGCGGTATTCATTTATCCTCAAACAATGGGAATATTTTTGCACAAATTAAAAGTACTGAAAAGCATAAACATAAACACTCACGCCTGTCACCCAGAGGGGTAGGCAGAGACTACAGACTTCCATTTGGCACGATCCTGACACACCTCTCTCGCCTCCTTCACATCCATACACCTCCGCATACATGCTCGTCGGTTAAGGGTACTCCTAATTTGGCCCGTTTTCAATAAATCGCCAATTTGGTCGATAAATTTTCGCCTAGGACGTCCCTTTCCGACTCTGCCATTCACTTCTGCAACATAAATTTTCTTTGTCACTCTTTCCTCATTCATTCTTTCCACATGACCAAACCACCGAAGCATTCCTTTCTTAATCCTGGTCACAACATCATCTTGCAAACCACACTCTTCTCTTATTACACAATTTCTTACCCTGTCATTAAGATTCAGCCCTAACATACTCCTTAACGACCGCATTTCTACTGCGTTCATTCTACTCTCGTGCTTCTTCTGCCACACCCAACTTTCACTACCATATGTTAAAGTAGGGACCAACACAGCATTGTGAATTGCCATACGTGCCTTTTTCGACACATTTTGACTCTTCACAATAGAGTGCAGGGCCCCATTTACTCTATTTCCCGCATTCACTCGTCGTTCTATATCCTTATCATATCTCCCATCCCTGCTAAATACGCAGCCCAAATATACAAACTCGTCTACTTGCTCGATCAACTCCCCTTCTATTCTTATTTCACAAATCGTTTTACTTTCTTCTCTTTCAAAAACCATAACCTTCGTCTTACTTGCGTTCACTTTCATACCCCTTTCTTTTAATGATCTGTTCATTAATGTAACCATCATTTGCAACTCGGCCGCCGACGACGCAAGTATAACTTGATCATCGGCGTACAAAAGGCATTTGACGGTTAACTCACCCATTCTTAATCCGCATTCTTCAACTTTCAAATTTTGCAAACAACTGTCCATAAATAGGTTGAACAGCCACGTGGAAGCTACACAGCCCTGTCTGACACCTTTATGGATGTCAAACCAGTCCGAGTAGACCCCGTTGATCCTAACACAAGCACTAGAGTCCCTATAAAGGGACTCCAATGCCCGTATCAAGCCAGCGCTCAACCCAAATGAGTTCAGTGTTTGCCATAGCACATCCCTATTCACTCTGTCATAGGCCTTTTCCAAGTCCATGAACGCACAAAAAACCTTTTGGTTTTTGGCCAAAAAACTTCTCCGCGATCATGCGCATGGAAAAGACTTGATCTGTACATCCCATTCCCTTTCTAAATCCTGCTTGAACATCCCAAATTTTTCCATCAGTTTCTTTCAGGACCCTTTCAATCAGTACCTTAGCATACAGTTTTCCCACAATGCTAAGAAGGCTGATGCCACGGTAGTTTTTACAGTCCTGCTGCGACCCTTTTCCCTTATATACTGGGACTATCACGGCTTTGCACCAGTCTACCGGTACCCGCTTCAGTTCCCAGCATAAATTAAACAAGGTGTGCAGCAGGCCTGCCACCACTTCCTCTCCAGCCCTTAGCATTTCGAGTGAAACTCTATCATATCCGGCAGCCTTACCTGCTTTCATGCTTTTCATTGCTTTCATTATTTCACCTACACTAATCTCGCTACCTCTTTCCTCTTCCTTCGGAATTTCTACTTCACTTAGTACACACGTTGTCTCCTCACTCATAAACACGCTTTCAAAATATTCCTTCCATCTCTTTAAACTCAAAACTTCATCATTCAGAATATAGCCATTCTCGTCTCTTATAGCATTCATCATAGGCTGTTTTGAATGTCCCCTGGCAGTTCTTACAAGTTTCCAGAACATTTTAATATTTGCCTGAACATAATAATAAAAATTAGGTAGATCATTATGTCATTAGTTTGTGAATAAAAAAAAGTGTTGCCAATCACAAAACACATTTAAAAAATCGATTCTCTTTTTCGATCGATTATTTACGGTGTCATCATTACAGTACTAATATAATTTTTAAATAATTATTATGTTATGATAAATAAGCGAATTACTAGTTGATTTCCAATGAATTCTTTAGAGAGTAACAAAACGCTACGGCACAATTTCACTGTTAATCTTAAACGATCTTCTTTGAAAACAGATAAGAACTGTAATTCTTATCTGTTTTCAAAGAAGATCTGTTAAGTTATTCTTATCTGTTTATAACAATACATTTAAAATAGAATCATGTTATGATAACGAAACAAGTTAGTTTTCAGCTGATTTACCATGAATCCTTTAACCTTTTGAGCGCCAAAGTCGCCTATACTTGACCAACACCTGCGGGCCCTGAGCGCCAACGACGTCTATAGTTGACAAAAAACCCGGCTCTCAAAAAATGAAATATAGATATTGGAAAATTATTACAGGTATTTTAATTCTACAATCCTCAAAATAGGAATAACCCAGCAACATGTGAGTATAAGAAACAAGTCTTCTAGAGCCACAAGTACTAAGAAACATTGAACCAATAAAAATTGATTTTTATATAAGTCCAGCACGCCAAAGTCGTCTATGGTTGACCGCTAATGTCAAACGCGGGAAGCATAGATTTTTTTGAAAACTATCCAAAATTCAGCTCAATGGTGTTTTTTTTTCTATTATTATTATTGATATTTGAATAAAATTAAAGGTTAGAAACATAAAACTATAATTAGCTACATAATAAAAAAATGTTATCAGATCATCTTCGCATAATAAATCTAATATCTCAACTCTCAACTTTAGCGCGTTATCGAAAATCAGTTCACTGGGCACCGTGATCAAGGATAAACGACACCCTGATGATGTCATAAGTGATTACCGAGAAAAGTAGAGCAATGCAACATGAACGATTCCTCAGAACTCATTCGGATTTCGGAAAGCGTCGGTGATGATGAATTTTGATTTTTGATGAATTGAATTTTTGATTGATTGGTGAACAATTATGTTTATTTATTCCATGACCAAGATTTTCATATTATAAGGCTGATTTACCTAGTGCGAATAATTATATACAATTGTTGATAAATTAATAATTATGTACCCTTTTTAATAATAATACAAAATTACAATTAAAGTTTTTTTTTACTTAAGGTGTGAAGAGCAATTTTTCATTTTGTGTTGTGCCATTTCTTTCTCAGTCTCAAAATCATCTAGCAGCATCAGCATCATATCAAATCCCCATTGTTATAAGAGTGTAAGACTTTTCTTCTGTGCTTCACTTGGTCTACGCCTTCCCCGACACATAAAATATTATGAATCGATGTCTGTATATTTCGGTTAGATCGATTTTGAAATCGATACACAACATTCTAAGAATGTTTAAAAAAGGAAGGTCAGCTACGCCGTTGTCGTCCAGTCGTGACAGTGTCGTCATTAGGATGGAGAGTAGTGCTGTGGTTTACTACTATTTTATTGTTATTGTTTGTTTGAGTGGATGACAGCACAAGATTAAATAAAACATACAGTTTATAAAGGGTCATTTATAGCATAAAAAACCAACAAAAACAAGTTATTTTACGTTATCGATATATCAACTCTTGGCAACACTATTTTGTTTTGGCGCTTTGGCGTACAGGACACGGTAATGCGTTTTTGGCGTGGCGCTCAAAAGGTTAAAGCTTAACAAAACGCTACTGTACAAATTAACTGTTCTTAAAAATACATTTCAAATAGCATTTAAATAAATAAAGGAAAATATATTTTAAAAAGTGTGCAGAACTTAAAGCACCTCAAAGATTGTTTTTTAACGATATTATTAATCGAATAAAAATCGATATCTTTTCATCGATTTTATGTCAGTTAAGTGGCAACATCAAGTCAGTGACAGCTAGGTCCTGTCATGGAATGAAATCACAATTTAGTTCACATTTCACAACTATATCTATACCTATATAAATAGTCACATGTAGAATTCATTTGCGTGTTACTTTGTTTGTTTTTATTTTTGTGAATTTGTTATCGAAGTAACGAACTAGCCTTATAAATGGACTCTGACATTTTTTCCCATCATATAGCGAAAACACGAAGGCATTTGTTGGAAATTCCAGAACTGCGAAATCTTATACAAGAATAGGTTCGACCACAGCAGGTAAATAGTTACAATCATGTGTCATCTCTTCCTTTTCGTCATTCTACAATTGCAGCAATGCTTATTAACTGAGTTGTCTTATAATTATATCAATTGATATAATAATTATGGCTTCTTTATTAGGTACAAGTTTCGAGTGATAGTGTAGTATGCCACGCATGTTAAGACTGCAGCCTGGAACCAAATACGACATCCAACTAGCGAACAGGAAAATTCACCAATTAATAGTCATGGACATGTATGTATCAGCTGTGGCAAGTCACTTTTGAGAATAAGATCACACACATTGTTTGGGTCTGATTCTCCACGTGAGGAACTCATAAGGAATGAAATTGCCCATCAAATTGCACCACGTGAGGTATGTGTTTTTTAATTTATTAAGTGTGTGTGCTCATATCTGATAGTGATACATGTTTTTACTCTGATTACATCCACACAAACTATATCCGACAAACATACAAGCTTATTTATAACATGGCGATAAGATTAGCTTGTCACCACCAGATAGACTGCTACCGTTTTTACCAACTACCAAGTAATGAGACAATTGATTTTTCATTGTTTTTGGACTACTGGTAGTTTTTAAGTGCTTAATTATTAAATAATATAGGCCATTAAGTCTGCTTTTGTGCAGTAACAATTAACTTGATAAATATTTTATATGTATTTGAGTTTAAAGGAAACAAATCTATTTTATTTTTATTTAGTTCACTTTTTCACCTTTTTATTTAATATTATTTCAGTTGCCAAAGTCATCTCGTGTGTGTCATAATTGTTGGCGAAGGTTTGATAGAGCAGCATCACATTCAACTGCAGAACGGGAACCATCTGAATCATCTAGTTCATCCTCGTTGCAATCTGAAGTCGGTAATGTATTGCACCCAGATTCAAACATTCTAATTTCAATAGAGAATGAAGCTGGGTATTCCCACCTGCTTGGGACACTGTAATTAATAAAATTAAAACTAAACCCAAGCATACCACGCAAGACTTCAGGACAGTAAGTTCATTCTGCGTAGATCGGACCATAAATAGTTATTAAAAAGCTGAAGTTACTCCAAGTTAACACTGATTTCGGTACACCAGTCACCTCAATCCCCCATGACCATGTGTGCTGGAAAGCACCCGAAAGTCGGGAATTAAAAATCAAAGAAATTAAATGCGATAACATCTGTAAAATTAGTTGTTAAAAAACTGTATTTGTGAAAATAAAAACTTTTATATCCTAAAATTCCCGACTTTTTTTAAACCAATTTCTTAACTATTTCATTCCTTTAATTGTATATTATCATATCTATATGCTTTTATATGTGGGCACCCATGGCCGAAATGTCTATGAAGAGTGGGCATTCCTCTTTATTTTTAATCTGCAGTTACAACAAATAAGAAGAAAACGATAAATCTTTTGTTTTAAATTATACGTTTCTAATTTATTCTGGTATTATATAAACCTAACTGTGAATGATTACCAACTCTAAATAATCGATATCGATTTTTTTAAGAATCGATTATTGTACGTTCTCATTTTTTTGTCGGCATGCTTGGTGCAATAAATCTGACAGCTGTCAAAAGGTATTTCTTAGATTTGGTTGACTATAGTAAGTTTATTTTTTCTCCTTCGAATATTTCATATAAACCGCACATAATACAAAAATGTTTGGAACCACTGTGACCACGAAATTCTTCTTGCTCCGCGACTGGACTTTACAGATCAACCCTTTTATGTGAAAACTGTTTCAAAAGCGGCATGGGTTTATTACTGCGTGCACAGCTTATATGCAAGACTGATCTGTCTAAGACAAGAGGAAGGAGACTCCACTTATACTAAGGACTCTTATGCTGCACAAGTGCTATCAGGTAACCATAGCTTACCAGCACCGATTGAGGCGTATATTAAGGCCATTGGTAATGTCGTTGATAACTCAGCTATCAGATATAAGCTGAGGATGCCGGCTTGGCCCAATGAAGACGGACACTTCGGTAGAGTTGATTTCAACTCACATTGGAAGTATATGTCGATGCCTTGCCCACTCGTATGCAGGAGGATCCAAGAAGATCTTAGGATCACAGCAGTACCCGGGGTATGTGAGTGGAATTTACCGGAAGGACTCAGATCAGCTGAAGCTGACGCTGGTAACCCAACCCGCAATTGTCTGGGATGGGCGCGCGCATCGACCTTGACGAACGATCAGGTTGCATTTTTAGAGAGCGCGAACATCATGGAGGATGCGTTCCCAGTAAAGTTCGCACAATTCCAATACAATACCGACTTATTCGAGAAGATATCTTTGGCCCTTTCTAAGACTGAGCAGAAGATAAAACTTACTCCACAGACCAAGAAGAATGCTGAAGGTGCCCTCGCACAGGTATGTTGGACAGTTGTCGAATCTATTTTGCAAGACACATCCCTGAATGTGTTTTATACGGATAGCCGAAATAACCAGGTAGTAACTGCCTCGGAAACGGACTGTTATATCACTTTTTACAAGGCAATAAAACATTAGTAAGCATTTATTTAATCACACAGTACTTTTCCTTAATATAGCTATAGTCAGCAATTATATAGTTATATTGTTCCTTTCCATGTTTAATTCCATTTTTAATGATCAGTTAGACTCAGAGCCCCGGGTAGATCGGACATAGATTCCGACACGTATTAGAGTTGGAAGTCAAGGACTATTAAATTTGGTGTGTGAACTTTTGGAATAAACCTTTAGGTTTATTTGGTGTTTCTTTTTTTAAAAAGTCAAACGGGATCGGCCTCCTAACAAATTGGTGTCAGAAGTGGGATGCCAAACAGAAGGTCATAAAAGACTTTGGCATCCGAATCCGAGGTCCCCGAAATCACCAAGGTCGACATTAAGCCTTAGCCGTGCCTAAGCCTGCGCCTGCCACAATTTTGGACGACGATCAGCCTCCGCTCTGAAGCGTGAGCCCGCTCCACTCACACCTGGTCCTGAATCACCCGTCTGGCCGACGATCAGCCTCCACCAGGAGCCCGCACCAGCTGGGTCTAACTCACCAACATAAGAAAAATATATTTGAAGAATATTCTACATCTTCCATTCCTGCCATTTCCCATGACGCGACGGAGTCACCGTGTCAGCGATTCCGCCCGCCAGCCGCCACGAGTGTAACGTGTCACCAAGCTATTGTTACGAGTTATTATTTTCCTGTAAGTCGTTTTGTTTTCTAATTTAAATTTATAATTTACCTTTATTTTACACTGTTTGTGTTTTTACTATACCTTTTCATCACATTTTGTACTATACCTTTTACATCGTTTTATTGTGATTATCTTATATAGCTTCAAATTTTAATTTTATTTTTATGTCGCTTAAAGCAGAAAAAAGTAAAGACAATATGTCAGAAAAAATCACACTTTCGTTTTTGACGAAATTTATAAAATCTTATAATGGGGAGAAGGAATCCCTCCCCGCTTTTCTTACCAACTGTGATAATCCAATGTCGTTAGCTACGGCAGAACAACAGCCTATTTTGTGCAAATTCATTATCTCACAGCTAGAGGGAAAAGCTCAGGTCGCATGTAAGTTTCGTTACCATACACGAATTTATTAACAAAATATTCTCCTAAGTGTCTCAAACTTCTTATCGACACCGGTGCAAGCGTATGTGTCATAAAGCACTCATGTTTAAAAACGAAACATGAACTTCTTAAGGACAAAGTAAGAATCAAAGGTATAAATGATACGGATACGTATAGCGAAACAATAGGCTCAATCTACTTGCAATTTTTATTAAGTGATGAAACTTACGAGCACAAATTTTATGTCGTTAACGATAGCATAAACCTTAATTACGACGGTATTATTGGTACAGATTTTCTTAAATATTTTAATGCTAATATAGATTATAGCTCTAAGATAATGACTCTTTGCGGTCACCAAGTTCCTATTATATTCCATCAGCCGACTTACACCGTTCCAGCACGCTCAGAAGCAGTCATTGAATGCGCGAATATGATTACGAAATTGTTTATAAACAAAGCCGTTTAAACTCCAATTAACACTTTAAATAATTCTAGTTATGAAAAATATTTTAAAGATCAATTCACTAATAAAACTTCTATTTCAAATACAACAATCATAGAATGCACTCAAGGATTACATTTATCTAAGTAAAACATATTGCGAGTCCTGTTTCTTTGGATTTCGACTCATCTATACCTCAATGTGAAGAAATATTATCGCAGTTAGATAATCCGGAGGAATTGCTAAATTCCGAACGCAAACCTTTTACAGTTCAATGTGTGAAAGATAAGAATAAATACTACTATTTTTTATATACTAAAGTTCATCATTATGAAGAAACTAAATTCAAAGATATTTACAAATTAATGCTAAATCTTAGAGATAAAATTTTAGTCGAAAATCCTGATATTACAGATCTCGCCTTGTCAGACTTTTCAGATCCATTTTCTAAGTTAGCTTATATTAAAGTATATAATATGATTGCCTATATTTTCCATAACACTAATATTAAAATTCATATTTACAAAAATCAGTTAATTTACCCTACTCCCATCGAAATCCCTAAAATTTTAAAAGAGAATCACGATTCACCTATTGCGGGTCACCCAGGATCAAGTCGTATGTATAAACGAATTAAAACCGCCTACTATTGGAAGGGTATGCGCTCTGATATTGTAGATTACGTAAAGAAATGCCAATTATGCCAAATTAATAAGCCGCTGAGAATGTCCAATAAGGCCCCAATGGAGATAACTTCCACTTCTACTAGACCTTTTGAACGATTAGCTCTCGACATCATTGGTTCTTTGCCCGGCGCAGATTTCCAAAAAATTCAAATTTATCCTTACATTGCGAGATGATTTAACTAAATTTTCAAGTGCTCACAAGTGGTCACAGCTATCAGTGAAGATATAGCCAAAAATCTGATACACTTTATGTCTCTTTTCAGTTTTCCTAAAACAATCCTAACAGATTTGGGTACGTGTTTCACGTCCGATTTATTTAAACAACTGACTCAAATCTTAAAAGTTAAAGACTTATTTACTACTCCTTATCACCCACAAACAAATGGAGCTCTAGAACGCTCACATGCTACTTTAAAAGAATATCTAAAATCCTTCGTAAATGAAAACCAAAACGATTGGCATTGTTATCTATTTACCGCAATATTAGCTTATAACACCACTCCACATTGCACCACTAATTTCACCCCTCATGAATTATTGTATGGTTATAAACCTAACATTCCCAATTCTCTATATGAAACAAATAATAATACAACCTATAATGAATATATTCGAGCTTTACAATATCGAATGCGTTTTAGTAGAGAAAAGGCCATTCAAAATATAATTAATAGCAAAGAAAAATCGAAACAATATTATGATGCTAGTTCACGCGAAATTTCTTATAAAATTGGCGACTTAGTGTATACAAAACATCATCACCGGCTCCGTAAGGCTCTATCACCTATATGGAAGGGCCCATATAAAATAATAAAAATAAATAATAAGCATAACGTAACGTTACAAATAGATCGTAAACATGTTAAGTACCATACAAACGAAATTAAGCCTGGTATTCAAACTCCTTAAATTTAATTTACTTTGTATATTTTTTCAGAGCTTTATGCTATGGAAACCAAAGCCACGCTAAATCGAGGATCATACCTATATCACATAGTCCTGGAATTTATTTTGAACCTATTACGCATATTAATTTTTATAACGATTATTGGAAAGTCATAACACATATAGACCTTATATCCTTAGATCCTTATCTCAATAAAATAGAAAATTTATTATATGATACTTTAAATCTTTGTTCTAAAATAAATACTGACGAATTTTCCCCGTGTAAAGATTTTTCTACTCCTATAGAGACTTTAATAAAATATAATTATGTCAAATTGCAATCTCTAGCACATTTAATCAATAATAACTCATCGCCAAACAAAGTCAAAAGATCTCTAGAATTTGGAGGCGAATTCTTAAATTTTTCTTTGGTACTCTAGACGCAGATGATGCGCGAAAATATGATGCCGCGATAGAATCCTCAATAACAATCAAGTTATAATTGATGTTCGATATTTAAAGTGTCGATTTTGGTAATTCAATCGGCAGTTTTTATTGTCACGAACCCTAAGCTCGTAACAATATGATATTAAAATTTACCTTCTTATATTGTAGCAGTTTTTCATTCCCTGAAAACACGGACAAAAGGACATTTTCTAAAAATGAATCCTAGCTAGATCGATTTATTGCCCCCGAAACCCCCTAACCCTAAATTTTATGAAAATCGTTGGAGCCGTTTCCGAGATTCCAATTATATATATATACAAGAATTGCTCGTTTAAAGGTATAGGATAATTAAACAACTAACTGTGTCAGATAAGCGTTGCTGTGTCCCCGGATGTAAGGACAGTGAAGGTATATCATCTCGTCTCCAAACTTGCATCAAGGGCCTTATTTGTCTTAGGCATAGATGTTAACTAAGTATGACTTGTTTAAATGTATCTTTTAAATATTTTAGGCGTGCATCATGTTTTTCACGGGTTTCCAAACCCAGAAAAAGAAAGTGAACGATTGAGGGGATGGATTTATACGATTGGCGGTGATCTACTAGGCCTCGAAAATATGCACATATTTAATTATCGCCGTGGGTGTCACTCACATTTTGAAGAAAATAACAGAATTAGTAACATTGCTGTGCCAACTATGAATAAGCCAGATTTGTCTTTAAAGATTACAAAAAAAGTAAATATATTATAGAATGAGTAAGGAACAATATATTATTAATAATATGTATGGCTTCTTTGTAAAATATGCATAGTTAATTAGGTAACTAAATAGCAGTAATTTTTACAAAGATACATTCATTAAATTAATTAGAATAAAATTATATACTATTTATAAGCACTATCGAGCTTAAAAAGGATACTGCGTGTAGCGATTCCGGGTGACAGAAGGATGAGGATATGATAATCAACCATTAAGCCTAGTTTTCATAAATATTAAGTTTGCAACGTGTTATCCCCCCTCCTTTTCTACTTTCTTTTAAATAAATTATGTTATATATTATTGTTATACAGTGAAATTATACTTTTTGCAAGTCATTAGAGATACTGGGCCTGTTTTTTTATCATGTATAAATAATTTCAAAGTTAATACTATTATTTTCTTTTAGCTACATCATCGAATAAATCAGCAATTATGAAAAGAAAACCCATGAAAGAAATTTTGACCTGTAACACTGTCAACAACAGGTACTGATATTTTTCAACAAGCCTCCTAGATTTAAAATAATAATATTTATTATTGTCATTAAACCACATCACAAGTCCACTGTTGAACACAGTATGTGACCTTTTCAAC